AGACCCCAATCCACTTTATCTCATATTTACTCAATTTTTTCCAAGATAGTCCTTTTAATAATTATAATTCTAGTCAATACACTTGATTAGCAAAAATATTTTAAGAAAGACAACACCTACTTAAAACAAATAATTAACTCAACTTATTTTTTTAATCTCCTCAAATTAGTAAACTGCCTCTTATAATCAGGACCGCAAGTAGTATTTAAGTTCCAAAACATAAATATGTAATGAAGCAACGAGCCCAAGAAATACCCTCTAAAATCAGATTCTCAATCGGCTGCACATATGAGGTTAAAAAAAATTCTATTACCGCAGTGCCTATGCTGCAGTTAAGTCATCCATGGGCTAATAGCTTCTAGTGCCCCTGTTAAAGCTTAGCTTAATATCAGATTCCCGTTAAAATTTAAAAAAAAAAAAAAAAACTCTTAATCTATATTCACCACGAGTGAACAGGCCTATCTGAAGACAGCTTGAGAGGAACATCCCGGTCCAAACAAGAACTTATCGACAATCTAAAGGACCACAAACATTCTTCACAAATCGAAAATCGGTCTTTCAATCAAAACCACAACTTAATACAACACAGGAACCAAGCTTGTCATTTTCCACTTTTCCTTTAGCCCAAGCCACTTAGACCAGCCATCGAAGTTAAAAAAGCGACGAAAAATTACAATGTCATACCAAGGTAATTTGTGTTTTGTAATTGAAAACTAAAAGAATTTACGCACCCAAGTAAACTTGGTTCCTCACTGGCTTTATCCAACCCCAAACAAAATCCTCAGCTCTCGATGCTAATCAAAACTAGCATTTAAGAAATTGAGCAGTTCATTTCTCTTGCTTTCCGCCAACTTATCTTCCTTTGTTTTTTCAAGCTTCAGAAGAATCTGTGAAGACAAAAACGATACCAGATGAATGAATTCATCCAAAAGACACAAACTAAACAAGGTCATTGAAGAAAATTGTAACAAGCCAACAGCCTTAACCTTCTTGCCAGATACGGCACTGCGCCGGACCCCATCATCTTTATCGCGCCCCAGAAACTGTATAACATAAGAAGAGTTAGTCAACCTATCAATGACATACTTGCAAGAGAAATGAACTCCTGAATCGGATTGCAACTAGAACCTTGGAAAGCTGCACAGGACTGCTGCATCTCTCATCTTGCTGCTTCTATATAAGGCTCCCATGCCATGACAAACCCGACCAAGAAACAATATCCAATCAAGTCAATTAAGCGCCCAACAACATGTCACAGAGCCCAGCTCCAATTTCAAAAGAGCCAATCCAGGAAAAAGGCAGAAAGTATCATTAGCATCTCAGACAGAAATATACTTACAATGCACACATTTAATTTTTCGTTTTCGCCAGCAATGTGTGCATTTAATGAATTAACATTATTATGACACGAAGTTTGTGGCGCTACTCTATTTTCTGCTAAACCTAAATTAGATAGTGATTGCTCGGAAATAATGTATCAAAGAAAAACCAAATGCTAAGAAAATGGAGTCAGACTAACACAAATGATACGCTAGGCCAGTTTGTGATAAGAAAATTTAGAGGCTAAATTAAAATAAGCATCAGTCATTAACCAACTGAAATAATCTCTTAATTTTAGTTAAGGATTCCTATGCAATCCTCAAGTAATGGCTACCGTGCAGGTTGAATTCCACAGTGTCGGTAAAAACACTAGGGGTAAAATAAGTGAAGTCGCCAACATAGTAAGTATCTTGTCAATTTGACTGAAACAAAAGGCAGTAAACAGGCCTAAGGATGAAAATGAAAGACACCATACTATGTAGTAAACAAGCTTAAATATGAAAATAAAACAATGTGTAGAAAGTCACCTACCTCTTTCACTCTATGCTTCTTCCGTTTATGCCTACGGCTTTTACTGCGATCTTTTTCCTTATTCTACAAGGGAAAAACAATGAAATTTATGAATAACAAAAATTTAGACCAGGATTCTTTTTCTTTTTCTTTTTCTTTTTCTTTTTTCTTTTTTAAACCGCGTTAACAACAAATCACCTTCTTTGGTCTGTCCTCCCTTTTGTGCCTTTTTGAATGATAAGACGAATCATGCTCGCTGTCAGACGAACTCTCACTTCCATAGAAAATTAAAAATAAGGCAAAAAGCGGCACAAACCAAGTTATTGAAGTGATTCTTTTAATATGAAAATTGAAAATTATAGCCAGAAATTCTGAATATGAATGACGTAAACCTGCATACAATCACACCGTCATGTATTCACCCAAGCAAAATTGTTTCAGAATCCACATGCGATGCATAATCAATAGGACATTAGGGAGAGATAGCAGTTTAAGGCACATATCAAACGCCCATTTGTTGCTCTAACATTCAATAGAAACCCCATCTAAAGGGAAGCAGTGACCAGATGATCAGAGACAACGAAAACGCCCAAATAATAATAGGCATGCCTCAAAATGCCACCCAACCACCACCCTATGTAGCAGCCTTATAACTTATAAGTTATACATTTTCAAGAAACATTATTTCCAATAGCTTAGTCCCATCCCATAAATTCCCTGTAGCAGGCATTGAAACCATAACTAAATTGAGAAACTGAGAATTAAACATAGTTGAAACATTATAAGTTAAATCAAAATCAAAACCAGTTACTCCTAAGATTGGTACTCGAACAAATTAACCCTCCAACTGGGCGTGTTTCGTAAAGAAAGCCGAAATTCGTTTATCAATGATCATGTATTTCACTACTCAAAACAGATAGCAGTTCCACTCAGTAGTTATTTTCCAAAATATAAATCCAAGCAATTTTATTACAGCCAATATTTTGAATCTTGAAAAGTCAATCGGATGTTTCAAGATGTCCCCGCACCTGGCCACACTAATACAGTGGAAATTCTAATAGCAACCATAAGTTCAGCCACACATTTCATTTATGAATAAGCTCTGTCGCTAGAACAGGATAATCAATCAGCTCTAAAGCTCAGGCTAAAATTTTACAAAGATCAATTAGGGAGAGCGGGAAAAGTGAAGCGGCCACAATTAAAACCCTAACCTGGAGTCGTCGGACATGGAAGATGAAGAATATGAATCAGAAGAGCGGTGGTGCCTGCGACGTCGCTTGGAGTGGGATTTACTCTTCTTTCGGACCTTTAGGGATTCTTTATCCCGGTCCCGGCGACTGCGTTGACGGCGCCTACGGCGGTGAGAAGAGGAATCGCTAGAGGTGGAGGAAGACAAAGAAGACAAGGACGTCGACGAGGCGGCCATAAGGAAGGGAACGAGAGAACGGGGATTGGTAAGATTGGGGGAGACACGCACAGGGAGGGTTACTCACTGACCAGCAAAACAATTTAGGTCAAAAAGATTAACAGGCTGTTTCCTTTTTCATTATCATCGCGAAAGGATTATGGTCCTTTTTTTTTTTTTTTGTAATTAAAAGAACAACTTGACTAGAAAAGAAACTACATAACGTATTTTTGACGCACACGTTTGGTTAGTCTTGCTTCTTTACATTTTAAAATATAATTTAGATGTTAGATAAATAATTATAATTTTTAATTTTTTATAATAAAGAGTTAACACAATATTTGACCCTTAAGTTTGTACGAACTTTAATTTTAATCCATTAAATTTTAAATTAGAGGCTTTGATTTTATAAAAGATAAAACAATTAGGGTTATTATTAAATTATAAGAATCATTGTTTTAGGCGGAAAAAAACTTAAATAACCAAAATCAAAATGTGAGAACAAATTTAACAGACCATAAGATATATTAACCCATAAAATAAAAATTGTGTATCATTAAAACAACAAATTCAAACAACAGCATAAAGAATCTAATAACTCCCATCGTCAGCTTCCGCTTTTTAAAGAAGAAGGTTGATCGATGATCCAAAATAAACTATTGCCTCCGGTTCTAATAATAAGAGCTAGTTGACTAATTTGAGGAAATTAAGGAAGTAAGTTGAGTTAGTTATTTGTCCTAAATAGGCGTTGTTTTTCCTAAAATATCCTTGCTAATCAAGTGTATTGATTAGAACTATCATTGTTAGAAAGACTACTTTGGGGGAAAATGTATTAATATGAGAGACAAAGTGGATTGGGGTCTTATATTTAGGACCAAAATAAATATTAAACAGGGCCTTATATTAAGTATCGGAGGTAGTACTATTTAGATGATAAGTTAGCTAAATAATCAGCAACGAAGTTCTCATCTCTGTACATATACATACGAGGAAAGGTAACTAAGTGTTTAACTAAGTGTTTAGTTTAGTTATATGTGTATATTTTGCCAGCGCACACACACAAATATATATTAAATTACTGCATTTTGGACATGTTACATTAGAAAAACCTAGTTTTAGATAAACGCATGTGATGTGTGAAACCAGTGGACAAAATTGGAATTAATATAGGTAAAATAATATCATATAATTTTCACTGTTTCGGTAGATTAATTATGGAAGCCTGGAATTATTTTTACCATCTAGTTTCGATGACTTCCTTCCCCCACAGATAAATCTACTTTGTTTTTCCTGTGTTCCGTTACTTGTAAAATCGACCGCGATGAAGCAGAAGAAGAGGATGAAATTGCGCAAGGCCAAACAGCATCAGCACCTTTTCTTAAATTCTTATATCTGCTCGCATGTTCGCACGAAAACATTATCTTCTTCTTTTTCTTTAAAAAAAACAACTTAGGCTGCAAATAATTGCGTGATGTGGCTACCTCGACTGGTAAGAAACCAAATTTACTTCCCAGTTCCCATGTAGATGATAGAAACGGAAATTAATTTTAAAATTTATAAAATGTGAAGACAAATTCTGAAATGTTCAACAAAAGCTATTAGGGATAATTCTTTTAATTAATATAACGATAAAGTAAAAAAATAAAAAATAACAAGAAAAACATGAAGATGCGAGAATGGCAAGAGAGAATATAATGATAATAGGCCGAGTATATTGTCCACAATGAAAAGGGAAATCGCCAACTTAAAGGGGATTTCAATGAGAAATGTGTGTGGATGTACAAGTCCCACGTTATAATTACAAGAACAGCCAATCAACAACCTGCTGCCCCTCTAATTAAGTACACAAACACCCTCCCAAAGAAGCAGCCTTCATATTTGATAACGACATTGACAATGATTTCAATATGACAACAGTAATTGAAATTAGTGTTTGGAGTTCCAAGAAGAAGGGTTGTAAGGAATGCGAGTAATCTTAATCCACTTGTCCCCCTTGAAGAAGTTGAGAGGCGTATAAGTGTTTGCTTGTTGGGGTGTGATGTTCTTGATGCCGCCCCATTTCGCACGCTTGGATTTATCAGAACCTGGGCCGTCATTGTTGTGCTCTGCATAATAGCACGTGTCCAGCCCCAGCGTGCCTGCCCACGGCAAAAACCCTTCAGGTTGGATCAAGTCATCCATGAAGGTGTCCATGAATATGGTTCTGGAGTATATCTTCCATGGACGAGCCAAGTAAACCTTGTTCTTGAACCTATCTGGGTAGAAGTTAGGATCTGCCACGATGGACCCTCCTTGGATCACTATTCCCGTTGGCTGGTGCCTCTCCTTCCTGCCCTGTGCCGTCACGATACATTGTTGTTCCTCCAATGGCTTCCGCACTATAAATGTACAGTTCTGGAACACCGACATTGCATCACCAAAAACGAAGTCCACCGTACCTGAAATGGTGCAGTCCCTATAGAATTGACGCATCGCGTGTGCGTAAAGTGTGTCCTGGTACCCATCCATGGCGCATCTGTAGAACACTGCCATGTCACCTTGCACTCTTAGGGCAACGGCTTGATGCTTCTCGGGACCAGCTGAGTTCTCAAACCCCATCTTTATGGCCACAAAGAAATCTCCGTCGACGGCTGCATGCGTGCATGCACGCGTTAGCAATAATTACGTTTTCTCGTTGAATTCTAGATTCTAAACTAAGAGGCGACTTTAAAATTAGATGAAATAATATAATTATCATTGTTGTTCGTACCAACGGTGGCGGTTCTGAAGGTGCCAATGCCATCAACGAAGTTTCTATTGCCGGTAACTCGGGTCTTGTCGCCTCCATCACCGATCATGACCACGCGGGTCAGATTCTTCATAACGTGAACATACTCATGGTAGACTCCTTCCTTAACGTAGATGACGAATGGCTTGGCATTATTTTCGGGGACCATTTTCAAGGCTTCGTTAATGCTCCTGACCTTTCCAGTGCCGTCCTTGGCTACAACAACATGGGGCTTGAGCTTGCCGGTAGCAAGAAATCTTCTCATGCCGACCTCAGCCCAAAGGGGAATGTCCAGGTCTCCATGACCCAAAACAGGACGATCGGATTCAAAATCCTCAAGGAGTCGACGTGAGGTTGAGCTTGTTATGTTCAGCTGAGCGAGACTGTTGGCGAAGTCATTGATGATGGCGAGAATATTGCTGCTGTGTATCATGGTAAGTTTCAGAACATCTTGCATCTGTTTACCAGCCGGGCTGGTGGTGTTCTGAAATCCGTCCAAACAAGTCTGTTGGTAGGTGATGGCGCCGCTGATCCAAACCTTGAGGTTCATGAGCATGTCGTCGACGCCGGCGAGATCAAATGAACCCATGTTTTGGACGGACTTTCTGAACTCGTCGATAGAGAGGGCCATGAGGTGCATGCAGGAATCAAGGGCCATCTTGGATCTGGGTTCTATCTCAATCTCATGGATGAGACGGGTTTTCTGGAGACTCTCGCCGACGGAGCGAATGGTGACGTTGAAGACGATCTTGATGAGTTGTTTAGGGTCGCTGCTGTTGCCGGCCTCGGACTTGAGACTGTCCTCGCACTCTTTTTTGTAATCGGTGGGATGACACAGGTCCGTCACGGCTTTCATTGAATCCGAGACATGGGACTTGTTGTTATCTTTTGGTTGGCTTGATTCAGAATCGCTTTGGTTCATGCTGACACCTACGGTGACGGCCACCGCCATGGCCACCAACAAGAAACTAGACACGCCGATGATGGCGAGTCTCCTTATTCTCTGTGCAGCTTGTCGATCTGCCATTTTGAATCAAGCAGCAGCAGCTCCCTTACCACCTTCAATTTATTTTAAAAACAGATCAGAATAATTTATTAAAATAACTAAACATGTGAATATGTTAAAGCTTCTATATGCATGCATGGAAGAGAATTGGATGATACGAGGAAAAATGGAGCCGCAGCTGAGGGAAAAAAAACAGCCCGGTGTGGCGGTAGGAACCCCCTGTGAAATCCCTCCAAAGCCTGCGTTTTGTGGCCATGGAAATGATATTTATATATTTCGCAAAAGTTTGTTAGGTTAGTTCCAAAAATGTGAGGCTTGGAAATGAAAGGAAAAGTCAAAAGGCAGTCTAGATATATACGGACTGGCTTGTTTCTTTGTCTTACATATAAAAATATACAAACACGGAAACCACACACATTTTGTTTTGGCTGGGGATGCGAAGGGGACGTGCGCCTTGTTTCACGCCTATGAGGCTTTGGCCCTTTGCTTATATACATACATATATATACATGTATATATATTCACCTCAGCTCCCTAAAACCCTTTCTTACGCGTAGTTCCTGCCTTGTAGATTCTAGCAACTTTATTAATTACTCACGACAATTCCATTGGTTTACACACTGTATTTTTAATTTGCATGAAAAATCTTACTCCTCTGGAATAAGTTTTAGGTTTTGATGGATTCTTAAATTAAATTGCGTCCTTAGTGTTTAAATAATTAAATGCTCAAGCCATAATCCCCTGATCATTCAACCCAACCTTTCGGATCAATCAAGCCGTCCATGAAGGATTGCAAGTAACCTGTCCTTGAAATTGAATACCCCAGTGTTTTGGTTAGGATCAATTCGTCCTTGTGCTGTGAGTCGTTGAATTGGAGTTGGAGCCATAAATGTCACAGATCTTGTAAAATTGCCCGAGGGAATGCGTGTATGGTGTGTCTTGGTACCCTTCAGAGAGAGGTATTGGCAGCTAGCCACGAACGAAAAGGGCCAGAGATATGCTATAAAGCTTTGTCCCATCAGAGAGAGGGCTTAATAACCCTCTGTTGGCGGCGGGATAAGGAGTTCGCTGGCTCATGAGCTTGAGAGGAAGTCAGTGTGTTTTGGAGGGTTTCGATTTGTATGGGACAAAAATCCACTGTTCGATTCAGCTAAATTCTAACAATCGTGAAGGGCACCTGGTGTGGAAAGTAGAAATATTATCTCCGGTCCTAAATATAAGAGCTAGTTGACCAATCTGAGTAGATTAAAAAAACATGTTAAGTTAGTTATTTGTAATAAATATGTGTTGTCTTTCCGAAAATATCCTTGCTAATCAAGTTTAATGGTTAGAATTATTATTATTAGAAGGACTATCTTGAGGGGAAAAAAATAAATATGAAATACAAAGTGAATTGGGATCTTATATTTAGGACCAAAATAAAAGTGCATTAATTGGAGAAGGGAAAAAAGGGCATGTTCATTGATCTGGATGGATACAGACTACAGAGTAATGAGCAGGGGAAAGTGGTGCTGCAGAATGATGGATAGTGGGTAAGGTGGCATGTTCCATCGTGGGAGAAGGAGAAAGCTGCGACAGAAGAAGAAGAAAAGAGTATGACAAGGCGACCAACGGAGCAAGAGGTAGTTTATAATTTTTATGGCCATGGTGATATCTGGCTGCAGTAAGCTTGCACGTTTCCTTCACTGCGTATTGGATACGTGACAATCTTGGAATAAATTAATGATTTCCTGTGGCAATTAGTCTGCGCGTTTATTGTTTTATAATTAATGGTTTAAGCAAGTTTCTTAGTAGAGAGCATGCAATGGGCTATCAAGTCGGGTTTGATAGGATGTTAATATTATTAAGAACCAGTGCATATCCTAATTGTGTAATTTAGCTCTTCGTATGTTTAGAGGAGAAAACAGAGGAACAGGGAGAACATGAAAATAAGAGGCTTCAACATATTGTGGCATGGATTGAATGACGTAAGAGAGATTACTTGTGAAAGGTGAAGTAACGGATTATGATTACAATAAGATCTAAGCGAGGTCAAACAAAACCAGAAGGCAAGGAACTAGGTTTTGGAGAGGGCCACGTCGCCAAAATCAGGTGCATTCTGCATGAAAATTGGACTTGCCTTGGATATAAATATACGTGCTTTTCATGAACTTGAACTTGATGATGAGACTTTTCTCTCCGCTTTTCTCCTGAGTAAGACATTTGTGAGACAGTTTATAACTATTACGCGACTTCATCACGAACAGCACAACGTGTTTTCTATCCCCACCCCACACTTTTTCTTGGTTCTTTTAAACATCGAAAAATTGATCTTTAGAGTCAGGCCTACGTGCAGCACTCTAATTTGGACCAGACAAGCCAACGCATAAAGCTCTAATTTGGACCATCTGACATGTTTGACGCTGTTTACCCAATCTCCCAGTTTTGGGGGATGCTGCACGATTTCAATGTGTTGAGAAGAACATTGCGCCTTTCAATGTTTAAGCCTCACTAGATTCTGCCGGGATAGAGTTACGCTTTAACTCAATTTATTTCGAACACATATCCTCTCCCTTTCGCATACAACATCAATTATCATACAGAACTAATGTTTTCTGTCATTCTTCCTTCTCATTGTCAATATATCACTAAAAGATTATACATTTTTGGCTTTTTGCCTTAACGAACACACGAACTGTCCTTGATCCTGCTCCAATAACCATTATTTAAATTTTAAAAGAGACAGTTCCCATTCTGGAATAGTCTGAAAGTAATCATTAAGCATCATCAATTCCGGGGAGAAGCAAATATAACAGGAAGTCTTGTTAAATTGCCACGAAAAGAAATGCTAATCCCATCTGATCTTGCACCCTCGTAAATGCAGTATGTCAAGTATTTCTGACGAAAGCAAGAACCTCAAAGATGCCTGTAGTTTCACCTTTTTGATGCGACCACAACTGGCTCTGAGGCCAAGTTCCAACCCTCTGACGGTAGCTTCAGAAATATTCACCAACTTCACTTCCTGCAGCCGTTTCAAGTTCCCCATGAGAAGGCACAAAACCACGTCCGAAACAGCACAGTAGCTGATATTTATCTGCCATCATCGTCATCATCAATTTGAATTAGAATGCCTACCATTCCATAATTCATTCGAGCTAGCAATTTATCATTCAGCAGTAGCTTTGAGTGTAAGAAACATAGAGGATTATCACTTACCTGAGTTATTTGAAATACATTTCTATCTTGCTTTTATTTTAGAGGCTAAAAATTTCCAGTGAGCAGAACAAACTTTAAGAATACCAGAAGCAATTATGATACCTGGCGCAAGTTGTGTGAGTAAAAAGCAATGGCCCAGAAGCCTGGATCACCAATTTTTTCACAATGTTTTAAATCTAGATCTGCCAGTCTTTTGCAGTTGACTGCAACTTTTCTTATGCCAATACTAGTAATGTTCACCAGTCCGCGCATCTCCAGTTCATACAGTTCACCTAGATAACTAATATATTCCATCCCTCCGTCTGTAATTCTATTGCAATATGACACGTTGAGGTTTATCAGTAGTTTGCAACCAGTAGCAAGTGCTGCTAGCCCATCATCTCCGATGCATGCACAGCTACAAAATCAAAACAGAATGAACTCAACAGGCACGCGTCACAGCTACCAACATTTGGGGAGGAAAGAGAGAAGAAACAAAAATTAACCCCACTGATTGTGAAGTTCTCTTACCGGTAGAGATCAAGTTCAACCAGCTTTGGGAAGTTACAACCAATATATGCTAATCCTACGTCTGATATGTTGGTGCATAATCCTAACTTCAATGTCAAGAGTTTTGAACATCTTGATAGGTATTTGAGTGCTGGTTGAAAGAAAAGTGTATCAGATTCAAATGAGAAAATAAGGCAAATTTTTATCTGAATATATTGCCCAAAACAGATGTAGGATTGTAGCGTACTCAGATAGAGACCTCCATAAATCTACCTCTATCATTAATCCCAGAGCACTCAGTGAGATCAAGCTCCTCTAGAAGCAAGCAACGGGATCCAAGGTCATAAAAACTCTCCTCCGTCACCATATTGCATGACTCTAACTTCAGACAGACGAGGTGGGGGCAGGAGTCTGCTATAGCAGAGATAGCAACATCAGTGATGAGTCGACAACATGTTAAACTGAGAATTTTCAATTTACCACAGCCGCACACTAGCTGCGTGATTCCCGTGTCAGTGACTCCAACACATTTGCTTAAACCAATTTCCAATAGAGACTTGCAGCTGGTGCCAATGATCTGGAGGGCAAGGTCAGAAACTTGGACACCATCAATTCTAACCACGGTCAGGTTCTTCAAATTCTTCATGCATTCAACAAGGGATAATGAAAGCTCCTGTCCAAAACATCTGGGGTATTAGTGTGAGCACAAAACTTAATTCAATGAAATATTTCAACAAATATCAGACACAGCAATAAATTCATAAATAAACTGACCACGAGGCAATATCCTGCATCTATCTGCACAAGACTGCTATGTCCACCGACTATGGCTGTCAAAGCAGATGAGCTTACAAAATCACACCTCGATACGTCAATTGCCTGTACTATCGTGGAAAACACACAGTCAAAATTAATGAAAATTGCGTGTTCTTCCCCATAAAGCATCCTTCGTCAAACTTTCATCAACTTTCAAACCATTTTCAGCAGAATTCAAAAAAATGGCAGCATAAATACATCACCTTAAGAAGTGGACATCCTTTTTCAAGAAACCGAAGTCCAACATCATCGACAAAAGAGCAGCCCACCATGACCAAAAGCTCCAGCTTTGACAGAGAAGCAATTGATTTCAAGGATTCACTCGTCAACTACAACAAGGTGGGATCTCAAAATTATCGAAAGTTACAGTGTGGAGAAATTTTTCACATTCGAACCGAATGTTTCATATATTTTTAACTGACTAATCTAAGGATGTAAGACAGAAGAATCTCAACAACTTATTTAGAGCAGTCAGCTCTTCGAATCGCAACAGCCATTCTTATATGTGCTACAAGGCATCGTCCTTAGTCAGGTATAAGAGATCCTCATATTATTCCTTCTTCAATTACTGAAATTCCTTGAACAGCACAGATATTAACTAATTCACATGCTATCACCAGTAGTATAAGAAGGAAAACCCAAAACCGTTGCCTGAAATATCCCATAGAATCTTACATTAAAAAAATGGTACAAGATTAAGTATAACAGTTCGTGTTGCACAGTGATATAGCTATACCTCTTGGATTCCTTCATATTGAATTCCCAAGATTGTCATTATTAAACATGGTGATCTCTCTGGCTCAGGAAGTGAAACTAACCTTCAAATATGAAATATCAAGCATCTCCAAAACTAGGCATTTTTTACAAAGAAGATCAATGCCCAGATCAGAAATCTCAAAGCACCACTTCAAACTCAGGCTCTTCAAATTGCTACAATCAACAGCTATCCTTGCCAAACCAACATCAGTCACCCCCAGGCACTTGTCCATCTTCAGCTCCGTCAACCTGGTTGCGTACGAAAGCACAGCTGCTTCTCTGTCCCCAAATCCCCAACAATGGGAAACATCAATGGCCTCTAGCAAAGGACACGCACGAATCAACAGCTCCAACCCTCGATACCCCAAGCCAGTGGCCCGACAGAGCACCAACCTCCTCAGTCCTTTGGTCCAGTTTAGTGAACCATGACTCAGCAACACTGATACGGCTCCATCGTCGATCCGCGGGCATACAGAGAGGTCCAGTGCCTCAATGTTGCAGTACTTTCTAAGCAACCCAAGCAAGAACTCGATACGGAGGATCCGCACTTTTCGCCTGGTCAGCAATTCAAGTCGAAGGAACTCCTTGCAAACAAGCCGCCATGACTTCCGATCCGCGTTGGAGCTGAGCTTGTCAAGAACTCGCATAAGCAGGTCTTCAGTTAAGAGACGAAGCATCGATTCAGAAAACAATTGTAAATAAAACAATTCCGAATCCCACCAGCCGTGGGGACTGAAGATCTTGGTTCCGTATTTTTTTTAAAAGATAGAGGAAAAAGAAGGTTAAGGGTAGACGTCGAGTTCAAGAAAAACGGATTCATCGAGGTTTGAGCTTAGGTAGGAACAAACAGAAACAAGAGGCGGAGATGGGGAAGCGGGTGATGAGTGGATTTGGAGAGGGCGCAGAGTAATCGACGACGAGCTTCCTCAGGGGGTAGGTTCATTGTGTCGGTGATCTTTATCTTCAACGGTGTGGGAAATCGGAGCTTGATGAACCAAATAATCGGAGGGGACGTAAACCGAGAACGGGGGGACAAAGCAAACAGGGGGCGGAGAGATCGTGTGTGCTTTTCATTCATGTACGGGCATGTCCAGATTTGTACTCCTTTCTATCCCCAAACTTCCTTCACACTTTTTGTAGCGTGGCAACCGCTTATTCGCGAGAATTCACTGCCCAACTTACGCGTTCTTTACCATAAATGCCCCTGTGCTTTTTGATTAACTTTAGATGCGTGCTTTGGGAAAAACAAGGTGCCTTTTATATTTCTTTTTTTGCCAAGTGGACCAAGTACTCCATGTAACTTGGGTTCCATTGTAGAGCAACAGTCCTCTTCTTCCGTCTTATTTATAAATCAAAATGCTTCACACAGATTTTAAAAAAAAAAATTAATTTTTATTAATTTTTATTTAAAATACAATTTTTTAATTTTATTTTTATTTGATATATATTATATACATAAATAAAATCAATACAATAATAAATAAAAAATAAAATTACGTATTTATATTAAAAAAAATTCTCATATCTTATAAATAAGATAAAAAATATGTATATTCTTACTCTAGCTCATAAGTGGAACTAGAGGAGTAGTACCTATAACTGTGTGGGAGAATTATTATGAAATTTTAAATAAGAATATAATTATTGAAAAATCTCAATAATAAGCAAGTTTTAAGATAATAAATAGAGATTTATTAATAATTATTTTTTTTCCATGAAAGGCACCATTAAAATAACAACTCTTTGGCATTTTCACCTTCTCAGCCCATGGGATTCCCTCTACCTCGATGGATCCAATCCAAATCCGAGGTGTGGTGGGGGCATTATGTGATTGGAATCTTAAGAGTGTGTTTGGTTGGAAAGGAGAAGAGGGAGGGGAGGGCGAATGAGCCCTCTCTTTATTTGGTTAAAAATTTTGAAGGGAAGAGAAGTCAAAATATTTCTTCCCCCCTCTCCTCTCTCTCCATTTTAGCTCCCCTCCAAATTAAGGGTTTTTTAAGGGTAGTTAAATTTTTAGACTATTATACCCTTATGATTTTTTGATATTCCACAACCACCCACCCATAAATATATTTTTATATTTATTTAAATAAAATATAAATTATTATAAAAACTAAAACATTATTTAAATAAAAAATTATAATATTATAAAATTAATGTTTTTTTTATAAATATATTATTTATTAAATGTATTTTAAAGCTGAAAAAGGCATAGCCTAAAGAGAATAAAATTTCAATTTTTTTAGAGCATATAAAATTTGTTAATTTGATTATTTCAAATATATTATTATATTAATTAGAATTTAAAAAAAATACTGTACTAATTTTTTAATGCACATATTAACATGATAAGACTGAATTTTTATTAAATTATATGATTTAAATTAAGATGTAAATTAATTTATATAATATCAATAAAAAATATACGCTAATATATACGGGTAAAATGGTAAATTGATTATTACTATCCCTCTCCTTTTTTTTTGAACCAAACAAGAGATCATTAAATATTCATTTCTCCCTTCCTTTTTAATCAAACCAAATAAGATGAGGATGAAATCCAACCTCCCCTTCCCTACCCTACTCTCCCCCCTCAACCAAACCAAATAGCCCTAAGGGTGTCATTGCGCAGGAAGAAGACTAAAGGGTGTTTGGGAAACCCAAAACCATGGTTTCAAAAGCACTTTTTCGCAAAACGAGATAATCTCCTCCACATATTTACTTCGTATCCGTAAAAGCACTTCTGAAACCATGGTTTGGTTTCTATCCAAAACCCCCTAAACCACTTCGAGTAAGAAAAGACTTGATGGTGGAGGAAAACATATGACCGTATGATTTGGAAAAGGATGTGACGGACATTGGTGATGCACGTACGTGACGAGCGAAGGAAGCGATGAGCCATCGGCAAACGTTGATACGATAACACGTTGGGCAGCCACCCCCACAGTAAGACCAACCCAACCGCAATGACCGTACCTATTAGAATACTCTCAATACCCTTCCACTTTGTATCAATTATAAAAATTTTCTTTTTATTTTAAAAATATACAGCTCAGTCTAATTATTTAACATCGTTAATAATATTTTAAAGATTCTAAAAATCTTATTTTTAACTAAAATTATTTATTTACTATTTTATTTATTCTTCATTCTAATAAATTTTTAAAATTATATTTTTACAGTTTCATCAATTTCATTCAGTTAAAATAAATATCACAGATTAGATTAAAAATTTAACCAATTTTTTAATAAATATATATTTGACTAAATATGTTTATAAATTTTTGTAACAAAGATGTATTTAAAAGTTTTGAATTATAAATTTAAATATTTATAAAATTTTTAATTTATATCATTTAAACTTTATGATAAACAAAAACTATCTATTTGAAATATATTTTTATAATTTAAAAAATCAAAGTAAATAATTTCCAATGAATGTGATAAAATATTAAAATTATAAAATTTTATGATTCAGATCAAAATTAATAAATTTTAAAATAATTAATTTTTGTTTTATAAAAACAGTTTTTAGAAAATATAAATGTCTAAATAATTATTAAGTTTAAAATGGGTATTTTGGCCCCAAAAAAAATTTTAAAATCAAACTAACGGTCAACTAACAGTTTGAATAAATGAAAATAAAATATTAATATAGAAAGAAGGTTTATGTAACGTATGTCTTAGCTGTAAGAAAGGTTTTACATGTTTTTAAAATAAAAAAAATTTCTGTAATTGAGATAAAATAAAAGAATAATCGATATATTTTACTCTATATCTCATTATTTATAACTTTATATATATATCTGTATATACATATATAATTTGCTGGGTTTCAAACGATAATACGCAGCCCCGGCACGACGGCACTCCTCAACTTATCAACTGATCAGTTATCATTAGAAGTGGGCTCCACCATGAGGCCTCACCTACCATTTCCGCCTATTTCTCGTCCTTTCTAACTTTTTTAGCGTCCACTCACTTTTCGTGCCAACAATAATAATGTTGGCTAGAGATAAGAACGACATCTATTTTGTTCGCCAAATGGAGTGTTTTAATTGATTTCGTCCATTGTCCCACTCTTTCCTGTCACTCCCCAAATGTCAAATGTGTTCGTTCCAAACATTTTTCAGTTTCTGTCAAAATTCACTTTAGTTACTTTTTCTTTTTTTTTGCCAAACACTTTATTTACATTGGAAAGAGACTTTATGACATCTAGATTTAAATATACACAAGGAATCCATTTGCTTTGTGGAGAAAAAATGACTTAAATCGACCCCCGGCTCCAGATCAAAGGTAAAATAAATAATGGAGCACGAATCTTCTCTTCGTTGTGTGGCAAAATCTGCTGTGCGTAGCAAACGTTCTTTAACTTAGAAGTCCGTGCTTGTATAACTTATCACTGCCTTCCACTGGTAATTGATTTAATGGTGGCTGCTGCCTTTTGAGACGGTCTGCTACATTTGAAGCCATGACCGTATCAGCATTCCAATACCAGGGTTGAAGATAAGGTGAATCAATAGTAGAGGACCATGAAGATGGACGAAGCATAACAGAACCCCAATCTCTAGTTCCACGCTTCTGTTCCCTTATCCTTCTCCTGATTAACAAACCTCCCAAGTCTTCTTTTTTCATTTCTGACACACTTTTCAGTATTGAAATGCAAAGGAGAAGTGCCAATGCTGCATCTTCTTCCGGTAATAATTCAACAACCAACACCCTCCTCCAATTCAGAAGGGCCGTCGGCTTTCCATTTGGGTTCTCTTCTGTGAAACGGACAAGTGTTACAAATCCTTCCTCATCTTCTTCCCCCACCTCCTCCGTTTGGTTTCTTCACCTTTGCTTTTCGATAATCAGAATCACATACGATTATTCTTGCCAAAAATGAAGAATATAGACTCTTAGATTCATTATATTATCTTTTATCTTTGATATAAGAACTAATTTGGCATTCAATTTAATTATAAATATAAGATCCTAATCCATTTTATTTATCATTTTTTTTCCAAAGTAATCATTGTAATAGTTACACAGGTTAAAAATTCTATTAAATAATTTTAATTAATACATATGATTGGCAATAATATTTCAAAGAAGACAACACGTAATTATTAGAAATAATTAACTTAATAAGCTTTTTTTAATCTACTCAAATTAGTCAATTAGTTATTATATCAAGAGCAGGAGATAATATATTTTATACTTATCTAAAAGTATAATATATTGTATAAATATTTTCAGATTCCATTCTAGCACCCCAGACCTCGTTCTTACAAAGTATAATCGTCTTTTTTTTTTTAAAAAAAAAAAGGACCCAAGTAAATATTTTCCCAGTTTCATTTTATGTAAACCAATGAAAGAAGGGAGGTTTTTTCCAACTTCATTGTCAGATCACAAAATAGGAAAGTTCACCGCCGGCAAAGGGAAATTAATGACAGGAGCCCCCTTCGTCTATCTTTTTTTTTTCCTCATCTATCAAGTAACAATCTAATAAGCTTTTCATAAAAAATTCTAATAATCTAATAATATAAATAGATATTTTCCTAATTCAGATTATCAAATCACAAAAAAAAAAAGTTACCGTTGGCAAAGGGAACATGGAAGGAAAATTACTCTTTTAATCTTTCAAATTTTAACTCAATTATAACTTAATCCCCAATTATAATTTCTTGTAACTTACTTTTTATACTTTTAACTTCGTTAAATCCCGGTTTTTTTTTAATTTAATAAATTAATCCTAAGCACCACATAGCCATTTGCTGGTGTGGTTTCGAATAGCTTCCGCGCTTCATTACTCTATCAAGATTATTTTTCACTCTACAAGCAGCTAGACATTATCAGTTAAATTTTTAATTTGTATTGTTGCGGGATGTTCCGGATGCCTGTTACAGAAACAATATGAAGCATTGAGGGGTTAGAGGAGAGGCGTGCAAGTAATCCAGCGTAATCATTTGCTCCTGAAGACTTCTATTAAGTTCCGATCTTGAAGTCCCGAAGTTCCACCTTCCGAGCCTTCTCATGAAACTGCCAGTAGAGTATGAGGCAAATGGACCGAGCAGCAGCAAACCCCATAGCCTACCTTAGCTATTATTCAAATAATAAGATCATAGTGTTCTACTTAGGGGCATGCTTTTG